GTGAGTGAGTGAGTGAGTGAGTGAGCGTGCGTGCGTGCGTGCGTGCGTGCGTGCGTGCGTGCGTGCGTGCGTGCGTGCGTGCGTGCGTGAGTGAGTGTGTGTGTGTGTGTGTGTCTGTCTGTGTGTCTGTCTGTCTGTCTGTCTGTCTGTCTGTCTGTCTAGCTATCTATCTATCTATCTATCTATCTATATCTATCTATCTATCTATCTATCTATCTATCTATCTATCTATCTATCTATCTATCTATCTATCTATCTATCTATCTATCTATCTATCTATCTATCTATTTATCTAACTATCTATCTATCTATCTATCTATCTCTCTATCTATCTATCTAACTATATATATATATATATATCGATCGGTCGATAGATCAATTGATCGATCGATCGGTCTATCTGTCTCTATCTCTCTATCATTCTCTCTCGCTCACCATTTTTGCATTTCAAACTAACCAACTCCACTCACTCATTTTGTTGTGGCGAATAATGAGAGACCCGATCGCTTTTTGACACATGTCAGGAATTCCCCGCTCTAAGCAACAGTGGGCGGGAGACTGGCAAGTGATTTTAGTACTTCCAAAAACAGATATCGAAAATGTGGAGTCTGGAAGTTCGATATCAAATCATCGTGCGTGCCTGCGTGTGTTTGCGCGCGCGCGTGTGTTTATGCGGCGTGGGCCAGAGAACGAGAGCGAGAAAAAGACAACTAGTGAAGGAGAGGGTCAGATAGAGTTAAGGTAAACATCCCAGTAAGTATACGGTGATGAAAATGCCACCTGTAGTTACAATAAATGGAAAGATGAGCAAGTTAGTTTATACATCAATATAACGTCGAAAATATAGACAAATGTACGTAGGTACAATGCGATTCAACATATTATACTGATATTGAATCGCGAACTGCAGTTCAACTCAGATAATAGAACGAGGTTATTATTATATTTGTACTGTGAAATTTCCAACCTGTAATATCACATTCACACCTTATTGTAAGTGACGCAAAAATGTAGTTTTTATAGACATGCATTTAAAACTTAATTACTGCGAACGTAATTAAGTACATTCCGACATTTGCGTCGTACGTATAAAAGACGTTTCCTCACCAGAAAACCATTCATGCAATCGTAACGTACGTGCTCATTATCAGAGCTCTCGCTGAATACGTGGGAACGAATATCGATTATTTACCGCATTATCAGAGCTGTATACACGAATCGTAGTACGCCCTGCATTTTCACCTGCGTTTTGCTAGGCGTACCGCGCACCACGACGCGCTAAGTAGCTTATATATATCTCTCATCTGCTTATAGCATGCTTCCGACATCGATGTTGCATCGAATCCACTTACAGCCAGGTGGCAGTTATCACGAAGCGTCTTCTCCTGCATCGTATAAAGCAGAGCGGACCCGAACGGAAAGCGGATAAACAGAGATTAAAAATTCGTGCGTGTAATTTTTAATAACATTTTCATATATTGGCTGGACTAATGCGATTCCTGTTGTCTTGGAAGCGGAGGAATAATGCGCGCGCCATTAGAGGACGCATATAGCAGACGAACGACACGCGAGGGAACGACTAGTACGCGTTCATCGGCGCGAAAGCGTTAAAGCAGACTCTGATCATGAAATAATGATGCTTCGCGAAGAAAACGAGAGAGATAGCATCGTCCACTGTCAACACCTCGCAGAACTGAGAATAGCGCTAGCGCTTCTAACGTGTAGACGCCTCAAGACGTGTAGACGCTCAACGTGTAGACGTTCAACGTTCAGACGTGTAACGTGTAGACGTTCAACGCTTCTGGCGTGTCAGATAATAGATATTAAACGGTAATTTAGAACGCTGAACAATCGTAGAACAATATATACAAAGAAAGACTGCTGCTGCTGCTGCTAGTAGATGGATTTTAAAGACTGAAAGAACCATTGATCCGGGAACACATAATGAGAATGATACAATGAGGCTGTTAGACATCGACATATACGTATATCAGTGTGCCTGAAACGAGCGCATTCTGCAAGTCCGTAAAAAAATCCGTCGGAAAAATGTCTTCTTCTATGCAAAATAAAGGAAAGCCGCGCTAGGACCGGTATATGAGATTAGCATAACGACCAGCTGCCTGGCAACCATGATGGGATGATCGAGCGTTAAAAGATATGGAGACGCGGAGAGATATACGGCAGATGGCGGAGGGGGTATCGAATATATTGATATGGTGTCGGCGGTTTAACGTCATGTATTATATATACATATATAGTGAGAGAGAGAGAGAGAGAGAGAGAGAGAGAGAGAGAAGTAAAATCACACACGAACATCCATGTAGATAAAAAAACAAATTCAAAAGATAGGTTGTCAGCTGACAAAGATAGGTTGTCAGCTGACAAAGCCTGAGGAAGACATGTACGTCTCGAAAGCTCGCTGATTAAAGTTTAAACATTCTTTACCTATCTTTGAATTTGTTTTAAATATATATATTTATCCTCTCTTGCTCTAATATATATATATATATATTTAAAACAAATTCAAAAATAGGTAAAGGGTGTTTAAATTTTAATCAGCGAGCTTTCCAGACGTATCTCTCTTCCTCAGGCTTCGCCTTTCCTTTTTTCCTGAGATGCACGTCTCAAGAGCTCGCTGCTTAAAATTTAAACACTCTTAATTTACCTATTTTTTAATTTGTTATATATATATATATATATAAACAGAGAAAGAAAGCAAGAGCAAATTAGAGAAGAATAGAATAATGTGTCTATTGTATATATGTGATGTAAAGTTGACGCCTTATTCTAATCTTTTATTCTTATCTAATTGAGTTGTGCATAAGCAGAATACAACTAATACGGCTTTGTGTTTTTTCATCTATGTTTCAGGACGATTGACAGTGACCTACCTGCGGCTCCTGGTCCGTTGATCGCTGCCGCGTGAAACAAGCGCAGAGGACAAGCTCGGGTTACAGGTTAATTCCACGCGGAGACAGATCTTCGTATGCTTGGCTCCACCGGCATCCAGCGGTGAACAAAGGCGAACAGCGAAGTCAAACGGTGAGCAAAATGTTCTCAGTGGAACATCGAATCCGAGAAAAAACCGGGACGAAATCGAACGCCGGACAGATACGTTCGAAAGAAAAATGGCATCGAGTTCGCGATCCGTGGTCCAGATCGTCGGCAATTGGGAAAACAGCGTCGGCAACGTGCTATAGCGTGTACAGCGCACGTGACACAGTCTCCGTATAGAAGGCAAGCAGCGCATACGTGTTCACTCATATAAAAGCTGTGTGAGCGACGAGCCACTCTCTCCCTCTCTCCCTCCCTCCCTCTCTCTCTCTCTCTCTCTCTCTCTCTCTCTCTCTCTCTCTCTCTCTCTCTCTCTCTCTCTCTCTCTCTCTCTCTTCTCTCTCTCTCTCCTCTCTCTCTCATCTCTTCTTCTCTCTCTCTCTCGTCTCTCTCTCTCTCTTCTCTCTCTGTCTGCTCTCGCTCTCTTCTCTCTCTCTCTCTCTCTCTCTCTCTCTCTCTCTCTCTCTCTCTCTCTTTCTCTCTCTCTCTCTCTCTCTCTCTCTCTCTCTCTCTCTCTCTGATCGGTGGCTCTCTGGATGCTGCGCCTGCAGAGGCTGTGCCGCGCGCAGAAACCAATCAATGGAATAGCGGGGGGATCTGTCGCACGCGGAGCGCCTCTAAACAAACTGAGGATGAGTAGTACGAAACGGAAAATGTTATTCATTGTTCAGCGATCGAGCGCCGGACATGTTACGCGCTGCGTGAAACATTTTATAGTGAAAGCTAGCAGACATATCGGACTACGGGGAGACATCCTTTTAGTTGGGTAGCGATCATTCGCAACCAAGAGCGGTTAGAAAGCATATATATGCGCGTAGGTCTACTTTATTTAAATGTTTTTTTGCGCAATCCCCGATTTATTGTTCAGCATGGGGAATGCTAGAGGAAAGAGAAGGAGCGGCGACGGGGAATGATATAGACAGAGCGGCAGGCTGGGGAGCGAGCGGAGAGCACATGCGTCGTATGCTGCGGCCAATATAATATTATTCCCCCCGCACCACTTCCGTCTACCACTGATGCGTACACGCGCATTGTGTTCCCGCATATCACGTATCTGACAAAGATAACAAAATGTTGTTGAAATTAGGCACTTTTAAAATTGAGAGCAAATTATCATCGCAGTAGCTTGTGTATACAACGCCCCCCCTCCCCGATGTCAGTCGTTAATAATAACAGGGTGCCCCGGCTGACGTAATTCACACTAATAAAACATAAATTGGTCAATAGATGGCGATATATACGTTAATCGGCAAGTAATAGGCGAAAGAGAGTAGAGAAACTTTGGCAGGGAATACATTTCATGTTTATTTATCATATTTTTTTATTGAAATGTTCCGAGTGTCTGTCCCTACGAAGGGTCAGGCAGCATGCCCCCCACCCCCACCCGCCAGGAAGGCTTAGTTCCTCGCCCACTCCACCAGTAAAAAAAACAGAAATTAGTCGGAGAATGATCAATGAATCAGTCGCTCTTCGTCTGTAGCGCGACACTGGTCGCGTTTTACGCCACTACTCGCATGACAGAATCGACCCCCCCCCCCTTTTTCACCCCCACTCCATCCAACCAGTGTGGCGTCGAGGACCTTACGTCCCATTTCGTCCTCGTGGCCGGGACACCTGCTGTGTATAAGTGGCAAATGTTTCCTTACATCAAAGAGAACGACAACAGTACTTCGGGCTGTGATGAGAAACATTGGGGATAGATGTTTTTACGTCGCAAGCCACTCGTGCTTATGATTTGTGATCTAAACTATTTTTATCCATATACAAAACTTACGCGTACAAAATCGGGCGCGCGGTGGCGCCACGAGCTAGCACGCCGCGGCCGCGGCAGCACCACCTAGACAGTAGGCACCATTTGTTTACGTTGGAATTGTTCCAGAGGCAGAGTATCTGGTTACAGCGTGAGGTTACAGCAGGTTTAGTAATAATTTGGAGCAGGTCGTTTCTAGAAGCGGTGCCAATAGAGCGAGAATAGAGATGGCGTCATTGAAAGGCAAAGTATGCATGGTAACAGGTAAGATTCTCTGAACATGTGTCATAACTCACGACACTACCTCTACAGTCTACTCTACTGTAGCTCCAAGAAACGGTATTGCTAGGGTTAGAATCCGTCGCACAGCCTGGTCGGGCTACCTCTACTGTAGCTCTAGCTCCAAGAAACGGTATTGCTAGGGTTAGAACAAGTAGAGGCAAGTAGAGTCAAGTAGAGGCAAGCGGCAACTGTACGCGGGCTATAGTACCTCTCTACCTCTAGCCACTACTAAACTATAGTCTATAGATAGTCAGTATAAATTATTATAATAAAGTGTCAGTGCATTGTACAGTATAGTGCACATGCAATCTGCTCGGAGAGGTAGTGCAGAATGGTACTGATGCCTGATGGTTCCAAGTTTAAGTTAAGACCGCTGTCCTATCATATTCAAAGTTAAACCGACGAGGCTCTCCGACTGTTACACGTCGTAGGACAACGTAGTGTTAAGCGAGAAGGGAACTTGTGGCTAATTCAAAGTGTGAGTTGCACATTTGTTGACAACGTGAAGCAGAGAGCAAATGCCCCAAGGGAAGCACAATGTGTACGTGTAACTAAATAAAAATGGTTGCAAAGCGAGCACCGCAAGTGAATTTTTTTTGCCAAAATGGTGCAATTTGGTGCAATTTAAGCTATTTTGGTGCATTATAAGCACTGTTCTATGGAAGAACAGTGATTTTCGTCAGCAGGGCTGTGTTTTGGACAAATTTCAGCCCAAATTTCTGTGTGGCGGCTGAGAATTTGAGTGAGGCGGCCCGCCTCGCTTATGTCAATGCAGGGGAAACACTGCTGATAGAGTGTTAGGCTGTTAGCTCGATATCATATGTAAGTATACTAGTGTTGGAGATCGGTCCAAATTTCATGATCGATCATCGGTTTTACAAAACGACCGATGATCGATTAATCATCGATCATTTTAGATTGCGGCGACGACGCGGTGACGCCGCGTCATCGTCGACACAACCGGTGTATTGCGAAGGAATATTGATATTATTGTAGCTAGTTCCTCCTTCCAGTTGCTGTGTATGCGAATTTACCGCTTGGCCTCGCCACATGACGATAAATAACATGAAAACCATGTCGTGCAAAAGTACGATTTATGTCAAAACGAAGGAAGCTACGCGGTTTGTAATACTACTGGAAGATAGAATAAGGACCAGTGAACAAAAGAAGCTCATGTTTGTATACATTTGTATTTTTATTCATATCGAACTCGTACGACAAAATGTAGTGAAATCACTACCAAATACGTGTCAAACTCCTCTGTCTTTGTACAGGAATGCCCATTGTGCAGCACGTAAGTCTATGTCCAACTTTACAAGTACTAATTTATTTTATACCTATAATTTATACATCTAATTATAATTTTTGTACCTAACTTTTATGGACATGTACATCCGATTAGAATGATTGCTAGATGTAATTGTAAAACCCCACTAATTTCCTATGCAGGATATTATTATCTTGAGGTGATCGGATTGTAGTTGTAATGACTTATTTATGTTCGATATCCCTTTGTAGGAGCAAGCTCAGGTATTGGAGCTGCAACAGCTATTCACTTTGCATCCCTTGGTGCTAAACTAGCCATTACTGGCAGAGATTTACATTCCCTCGAGAAAACCAAGAAGAAATGTACAGAAGAAGGACTAGCAGAAGATGAGGTTTGTCACTTATTAAACACTTATTATGTTGATAGTGTATGGATTGCAATTCCATGGAAATGAAGTCCACCAAATGATAATATAGGTGCAGTTTATTATAAGTATGCACAATTGAGTATATATTATTATAGCTCTACAGAAGAACACGGTCTATCTTTAAGAATAATATTTTTTTAAATTTGAAAGTAGTAAAAAAGTATATAAAATTAGTAATATCAATCAAATTTCATGATCATTAGAGAGAGCAGGAATCTAAAGTTGCAGACATGTCAGTTGAAAGTTCTCATAAATCTGCTGAGCACTGTTCCATTTCATAAATTTAAAAGTGTGAATGTTGAATTTATCAACTTTATCACATCTTACTCACATGTACCAAATAGATTGCTTTTTAATTGTATAATATTTTGCAACACATCATCATTTATACAGGTCTTCATCAGTGTTGGGGATTTAGCTGTTGATGCAGACCTGGACAGAGTTTTTCATGAATGCATTTCCCAATACAGTGGCACATTACATGTCCTGGTTTGTACATTTTTTAAAGAATGTTTATAGTAGAAATATTTATCATATATGTTTGTTCATTAAACATGCCTTCTTCTCCCTCTTCCTCTTCCTTCTCTTTGTGTTCTTCTTCTTCTTCTTCTTCTTCTTCCTCTTCCTTTTTTTCTTCTTTCTTCTTTGTCTTTTATTGCTTCTTCTACTTCGACTTCTTTTTCTTCTTCTTCTTCTTCTTCTTCTTCTTCTTTCTCTTCTTTTCTTCTCCTGTTCCTCACCCCCTTCTTTCTCTTTTTATTATGTTTCTTCTTCTTTGGCATTGCCTGTCCAACTAGTTGTGACCCTGATGTGGTGTTAATCTCCCTTCTGTGCATTTAGGTGAACAGTGCAGGAATAGTGGTTCCTGGATCCTTGTTAAACACTACCATGGAGATGTATGACAGGCAGATGAACATCAATACTAGATCCATATTCCACATGACACAGCTGGCTTCTCCATTTCTCATAAAAGTCAAAGGTATAGCATGTTTGTCGGCTCATAAATACGCATGTAGTGGTAGTCCTACACCAGACGCGTCATTGAAATTATTACTCCTTCAACAAAATGGCTTGGGTGTCGCCATTAGTTTGTAAACAATCACAGACGTTGAAGCATGTTGGATCGTTTCATGGCAAAAACTAATAATGTAAATTTTAGTATTTATTTTCAATGAAATTATCAAATCTACAAGATATATTTCAACTAAATAACCTGGTTATTATAAAACGATAAGGTACAGAGTTGTAATAAATACATGGAAGGAAATTCAAAATTTCAGCTGTGGTAATTGTCTTTCCTGGTTTGCACTGTATGTAAGTAACCTAGACTAAACAGTAGCATTTCAAACTGAGCTATGTGTATGGTCGCCTTAGCAATTTATGTTTGCTTTACAGGAACAATAGTGAATGTTTCCAGTGTCACTGGCTTAAGATCAGTAAGTGTGCAAATGCATCATTAAAATGAAATCTTTCCTGATCAAAATAATTTAAAATGTACGTCAAAGCCACAGGGGCCTATAAGCTTCTTAGTCATACTTTTATATAGTCATTCTTAGTCATAGACTAAAGATTTAAAGCCAGTTGGAGTAATGGTCATTAAGTTGTACTGCATAGTATGTTTATAATAAGTGAAATAGTTTCAGTGAATCACACAGCATCAATATCCACGTCATGTATTTACTTCTGTATGTCATAACCTACATGTGTTTGGCACATTTCAGTTTCCTGGTGTCAGTGCCTATTGCATGTCGAAGGCTGCAGTAGACCAATTTACTCGATGCACAGCTCTAGGTAAACATGACGAATCCTCTGTGAACAGCAGCCTTTCTCTGTTCTAATCACTTAAACAAACAAGGACTACAGGCATATTAGACCTAGTAACCTACATGAAAATGTTAAGTTATGTATAGTTATTATTTGTTGTATCCACAAAGGTAAAATTAGGATGTTCCGGTCACAAAACAATTTATGTTGTACATGTCTGATAGAAAATGACGTAGTTGGTATATATTTACATGAAACTGTGTAGCATCCATGATTTGTTTTTTGTTTATATAAAAGTAAATCACATGCAGAGTATCCAGTGATATCATGTAACTAGTGGAGCTATTTACAAGTGCAAAACCTGTGTAATATTTTATTAGTTCTCTAGGAACGGGGAATGCAAAACCCCGTGTAAACAATCTGACGTGCATACCAAAAAGATGGATTTTTGGTGACAGTTTTGATACACCATTCGTCTGAAATGTGAAACGTTTTACAAACATAACCGAGTCATACTGAAATGCTATACGATCCACTTTTATCACTTAGTATATATGAGGAACCCCATATCACCTAAGTTTGTTGTTATAATATAATTTGATGTTGGTGCTCATTCATAGTTTTCCCTTTCAGATCTAGCAAGTTGTGGAGTCCGATGCAATGCTGTAAAGTAAGATGTCCTTGTTTGTTAAGTATTTAATTGTTACGGGCTTATAGTGGTATAGCTATATATATGCTTAAACTGGAACCCTAATCAGTGATGAAAACTTACCCAAAAATGTAGTAGCCAGCTGGGTCCCTAAAGTAAAAATATTAGGGGCCCAGCTCAAATTTTAGGGGCCCAGCTTATGGCACGAAGCGCCGAAGTTCGGGATTCGTTTTGGATATTGACACTAAAATGGTGCTCTATTATGCATTCTGGGCATGAAGATTCAGAGCAAATCTTTGGAGAAAAAAACTGCAAGTCTTTTTTGCAAACAGTACAAAGTCTATTAAAATACATGACCAGGTGGTGTCCGATGAACTGTGCACGACGTGTGGCAAATACAAATATTTATTTAGGGGACTCTGTACTATACTTTAGTGATGCTGATAGGGTCTATGTCCCCCAGGGTACTATCGGAGGGTACCCTGGGTACAGTTCGATATATCGGAACGTACCCTGGTACTATCTAATATGCCGGACCGTACCTCGCCTACTCCACTAACGAGTCTAGGGAGTCGCCTACGCCTACTCCCTAACCCTAACCCTAACCATATCAGATAGTTACCAGGGTACGTTCCGATATATAGAACCGTACCCAGGGTACCCTCCGATAGTACCCTGAGGGACATAGACCCTATGAGCCTTAGTGACAAGAAGTAAAAAAGTAGTACTTCAACAATTTCTACATTTGTTTTTATTATGCCATTAATTAGAGTAGTTACTCAATCGTTTTTTAAAACAGTTTCCATGTCATTGTCAGAGTCCATCCAGTCCCCATTGTCACTTCCTGTTTCTTCATCATCGGCCATCATCATCGT